ATATATTATCTATATATAATGCCATATACATAGTATATATGTATTAATAGTATCATCGTATCTATAATATACATATATAATATATCTCATATAATACACATATAAGTATATATAATATTACATAGATAATTATATATATATAGTATATATACATATACACACCACATATATGTTGTGTATATAAAACATACACACACACACACACACACACATACATATATGAATTTATGTATCTATCCATATATCTATGTGTCACGCACATACGCTTACACAGAGATTTGTGTGTATGTTTGTGCATATAAAAATAACGTACAGAATATATTTACATTTTTTACACACATCCTCTACACAGTACTGTATATATCCACAAATATAAACGAAAAAATTGTCACAGAACAATAAGATGATGAATGATATAATATGAAAATAATAACAGTGATATTCCAGTTGTATATAACAGGCGCGAGAAGTACTGACACAAAATCCAATTGTTGAAAAAGTATGAATAAGATTGGACATAAATACATGCAACAGATATGCCGCTATATATATATATATATATATATATAATTCTTAAAAATCAGGTTTTCAGTGAAGATATACCATGATATAATGATAATCATATACTTTGACTGCCGTTATTTTTAATTCATATTTTTCTTCCAGTATTTGTCACGATGGACTAATTAATCAAATTGATCTTCAACTTGATTTACTCTGTGATGTTGCAAGTTTATTCTGTATTGCAAATTTACCAAGCAAATGTAAGACAAAGGAGTATATCTATATCTCAGTAAAATATGTCTGTTGCAGATTTAGTTCAAAATGAAAGAAGAAAAAGGAGAAGAAGAAGATGATGATGAAAGAAGAAATATCATAATTGTACAATTGGTTTCACGAAAACTTAGTTATTTGAAAGCAAAAGATTCTGATGAAAGAATATTAGACACGAGATGAATCATGTCTTTATATATAATTTTTTCTTTTTCTTTGCTGTCGAAGAATGTTCTCTTTACATTTTTTTTCGTCTTATTTTTTGTTTTATTCTTTTTTTCCTTCTTTTTTACCGCTTTCCTCTTCTTCTTTGTCTGCCTCTGTGTGTATTTCTCAACTTGAGGGAAATCCTTGTTTAACATCACACACACAAGATAAGTGTTGTGTTGTTTTAGAACTGGCGAGTGTGTGTTTATTTCTTTTTTCTTTCTCTCTCTCTCGGTGGAAGAGTCTGAGGGCAAAAGTCTCTCGTTGTTTGTTTTAAAAATATACTTCTGTGGTTGTATGTCGATATTCCAGTCACTGTCGGTTGTCCGTAGAGTATATTCCATAAGAGTATATAAGAGTATATTCCATAACCTCTAGATTCATAGAAGCGTGAGAAAATCCCTTGAATTCTCTCTCTATCTGGGAATGAACGAACACGGGAATCTGTTCAATATGTTCTTTGTGTTCATCGGAGTATATTTTCTCTTTTTTCTTTTGATTAATTTTCTTATGGAAGCAGTGATACGTGAATGACAGCCGGAACCATGAATGATTTTGAGAATTGTTAAAGAAACATCTATCGTGGTATGAGTGTTTATCCGATCAAATGTTATTAAAATCCGTGACTTATGGTAATTGTATGACCCTTGAATTTGATGACATTTTTAACCCTATAGTAATGTATGACCTCAAAATTTAATTACTTTTTAAAGGGAAGGAAGGGAGAAGGAGATATGTGATCAAGCATATATAAAAATAGTCTTATGGTTATCATCTTTACTTTTCGAGATACAGGTGATACATATTACATAAAAATATCTTTATACAGGGTGAAGTCTGTTGGATAACTCAGGGGTCTGATTCCAGCGAGGAGGGCAAGGCCACGCGGGCGCAGGTGTGGGCGTGTGATGGGACAGTGTTGGTGTGGGCGTGCTTTACTATGTTAGTCTGGATGGATATGGGGGTGTCCGCGTGGGCGAGAGATGAGAGGTGGGCGGCGGAGGAGGCTGGGAGGAAGGGCTGCGGTTGCCTGGAGGGGAGCACGTCGGCGGCGGCGGCGGCGGCGTGGCTGGTGATCTTGAAGAGCGTCGGGAGGGCGGCGTGAGACGTCGCCTGCGCCCACGGCTCGCTCTGCAGCCACGCGGGCGAGGGGGGCGCCCGCGGCTCTCCCCCCCTGCTCCGACGAGGGGGAGTCGACGTGGCGGACGACGCAGACGGGGACGGCGCCTTGGTTCTCCTCCTCCTGCAGGCGGTGCTCCTCGGAGGCCGTGAGCACCTCGTCGTCCTGCAGGAAAGGGTCCTCGACGGGCCTGGCCTTGAGGCCGTCGTTATCCAGGAGGCTCGGCACGTGGCCTTCGTCCAGAGGGCGTCCGGGGCGCGGCGGGCCCTCGGGCAGGCGCAGGCATTGGGCGGCGGCGCGGAGGAAGTGCCCCTGAGCCTCCACCTGCGCCAGAGGGGTCTCCTCGGCCGCCTTCAGACGGAGGCCCTCGCCGAGCGGCAGGCGGTCGTCCGGCATCTC